TACATGTCTACATTTATATTTTGAGATGCACTAGTGTATATGAGAAATATTATGATGTATATGTAATGAATGGGTATCTATGTATATATAGGATATATATATATATATATATATATATATATATATATATATATATATATATATATATCCAAAAAAATTATTTTTTTTTGTATATTTCATAGGATATTATATGTATATATTTCCAAAAAAATCTATTTTTAATATTTATAAATACACCCCTGTAACTTTTAATATTTGTAAATACACCCCCATAACTTTTAATATTTAAAAATATGGCCCCATATCCGTATCCTACTTTTTTTTGTTTTGCCGTATCCCCGTAACCGTGTCCACGTTTCCGCGATTCCGCGTACCGGTATCGGTGCTACATAGTAAACAGGTGTGGATGCCCCTTATTTGGAAAGCCTACATACCACCTAAGTTTTCATTCATTGCTTGGCTTGTTTTCCGCAACCGCCTCACAATTTATGAAAATCTTAGTAGGCTTGAATTGATTAACATATGTCCATTTTGCAAGGGTGAACCGGAGACGGTACCACACCTATTCTTTGGTTGTCAATGCACAGGTACAATTTGGAGCAAAGTCAGAACATGGATTGGAATGCCTAAATGGATGTCTACTCTGGATAGCTCGGTGAAGTGGATTAAGAAGGACCACACAGGTGCGGGAATCAAGGCCAAAGCAGTCCGAATTGCCTTCATCTATACTACATACTGCATATGGAGAGTACGGAATGCAACCAAATTTGATGATGCCCAAGCTCATGAGGAGGATATTTTTGCTAGAATCCAATACATGGTGTATAAGATCCTTTATAGTATATACCCTCATGAACTTATTACTTTTTGACACTTGATGTCGTGAGGTGGCTAACCGCCTTTTTTGTGTGTGTTTTGGGCGTGATTGTATAGCTCACAGGTTATGGTATATCCCATGTTGGGATAGCCCCATTTTTGTTCCCCTATTTTTTGCTTTATTTGTACATAAACTCTTTTGAATGATATATATAATTACCCTTTATCCAAAAAAAATAAACATCATATTCCAAGTCTTAGCAATTTAAACAACATATTCCATGCAAAATATATGAACAAATGAAATCTTTTTTAGGTGGTCCGAAATGTATGAACAAATGAAATCTTATCTCTTTGTTCCTATACAAAGCATCCTTCTTTAATATACCAAATTAATCATATATTAATCATCCCATTATTTCTTAAAATAGTTATATTTCTTTCACTATTAATTTGTACTCTTCCGAATTATTAACAGTCCGATAATTAAGGATTTGAACCCATTGAATAGTGGCCCCGGCCTGCTTGGTCATTCTTACTATCTTAACAATATTATTTAAATTAACTTTAATATCTCACACACCTAGAATACCTTGGGTACGTGGTCCCCGCTCTCGACATGGGTCCCACATGTAGTTTCGCTACACGGTAAAACCTAATCCGTAAAAATAAATTTACCACACCTTCCTATCAAGGTGCTATGTTTAATTCACCCAATGTTATAGGTGAACATTTTTGGGGATGGTTTTACACCTATTCCCCTATGTGGGTCCCATGTCTGGTTTAATAATCCTTTATTAATTTAATACATGAATTTTATCTTTCTCATTTAGTAAGACTACTCTTAATCTTGATTTACCTTCTTTAACCCCGTACTTAATGAAAAAAATTTCTCTGGGTAAAATTCGGGTCTGGTGTTACAAGATACCCCCCCCCCCCCCCCCCTACAGGAATTTTGTCCCCGAAATTAACATCTGAACCTTAAGAAACACTTCTCCCTTCACTAATTGAAGTTAACAATTTCAAACATCATAATATATTTATGCAATGTAAGGTTCAAATCAAAACTACGTTATGCCATAGATGTTTCCACAAATGGCTTCTGCTATTTCCCGCCTTTATGAGCGAGTGCTCTACTGATTTGTGGAGGGTAAAATGCTTGAAGCAACTCCGGCTGGGTATGCAATCTCTGTGTCTTCCCTGGCGGCACCCAATGCTCTTCCTCATACACGTTGAGGACAAAGAGCTTCATGTAGCCCATTTCTACACAAAAGTAGCACTTAGATGGCTCTAAACATTTCTCGTAGTGTTTCTGTCTACAATTTTCACATTTGAGTGCTCTCGTTCCCCCATTGTTTGAGCTTTGAGTTAACCAGTCCTAACTCTCACTTAAAAATGGTACTGACTTGTTAGAACCCCCTTGCTCTCAAGGTCGTACTTCCAATCCCATCGTGGAGGATGGTTGATTACCTCATTCCTTTCTTGTGCTTCTTTAGCACTCGTTGCTTGCCTTTCCTCCCAAATCTCCTCCCCTTGGAGACCCTAGGCTATTTCCTCAATGAAAGTCATGTTGAATTGATTGGTCGCCCTTTGGCGTACCTCCAAATTCAGTGCATTCCAAAAATGGTTCGTCATTCGATCCTCATTGGCGGCATATTCAGGCAAGAACCTCGCCACATGGCGGAATCTCTTTTATAGGTTCTTTACCGTAAAGGCACTGCCCTGTTTGAGATTTGTATATTCCCTCCTCTTTCAATTTACTTCGAAAGAGGTATAAAATTGTTCATAGAATGCTTGTTCGAAGTTGTCCCAGGTGACAACCCCATCGAACTTCTCCTTGATGTTTTCCCACCAAGTAGAAGCTAAACCTTCCAGTAATGTAGTGGCTACCCTTAACTTCCCTTCAGGGATTACTTGCATGTCATCGGTTGCGGCAGCCGTTTCTGAGGGCAATGTCGGTGTCCACGTAAAGGTGGGCGGGGACCACGACTTTGATGCATCGGCTGTGAATCCTGGTGAGCTCAACGACAGGGAGAGAGAGGTCATGGTCTACGACAAGGCGGAGGTCGATGTGGACGTTCACGTGATCGGTTCCCGTGTTCATGAGAACCGGAAAAATTTAATTGTGTGCTAAAAACCTAGAGTTCTTGATATCATGTGAGAGTAATGGAAAAACTTACAAAACTAGTACTTCATTAAGATGTCCAAATTACGATAGAAAACTGACTAAACACTACTAAACAATAAAAGGGATAAAATACAATATATTACACACATCTCAGTGAACATCGTCGTCGTTTTAAAATGTTTTAAAAAACGTGAACTACATCAGAGCATTTAACGCTAAACCCAACAAGAGTTACAAGCTTGGAATCAACAAATCAATTCATTGATATATTTATTAATTCTAAATGTTATACAAGCTTGGGTGGCTATTTAAATTAATTCTAAATATATACATACACTATCCCTCACTTGTTTCATATATGTATTTATTATTTATTAACCTAATTTCGAAAAAATTTAAAGCCGACTGATTTGTTTCATAAAAAATAACTTGTTAAATATGATATCATATTTTTTGATGAACAAATACTTTGTTATTTATTACGTAGTACTAATTTTACAATATTTTTCTTAATGTGTTTGAATTCACTAGATGTGAATGCTTCAGAAAATTAGTACTCCATCTGTCCCCTAGCTAACTTTGTCCCATTTTAGCTTTTCATTTCCCATTAAATTCATCTCATACCGTATTTAGTAATTGATGGTACCATGAGAACTAAATGTCATACTTTTGAAAAACTGTTGTCTTGTAAGCGTATTATTAATTTAGACTGTGACTAGATAAAAACAGGTACAAAACCGGCGATGATGATACTCCCTTTCACAGTTAAGCTCTACACCACTAGGGGGACCAATTAATAAGGTGGAGATTGATGATGGTATTGATCCACCTCACCCGAGCCATCCTTGTGCTGTCTTTGGCCCGCTTCATTTAAGGAGTTGGTCTCCTATTCATTGTCCTGACTCATTTTTGGGCTGTCCAGCGACCAAGCCCACTCGCTCCTTTTGTCTTTGCCCAAGCTCGTGACTTATGTGGCCCTTCTCTTATATTTTCTGGTTCTTTCCAGAACCGCCTATTTGATTCGTCTCCCCCTTCTCTCTATTCGATGAACTTCTCTGTGGATTGTCCTAGACCTAGAGTGAGAGAGTGCCTGTATCACCCGGGCTTGAGCTTCGGCTACTCTCCGGTGATACCTTGGGAATCCTTTTGGGAGGCTTCACTCAGGTCTGGTAGTGTGGTGGGTTTTGCTTCTCCGGTGGGGCTTCTGGGTTGGTTTGGGCTCTGGGTGAGGGTAGTTGAACGTTGCCCTTAGTCTTCCCTTTTGCAACCTTAGTGGTGAATGTGAGCAAACCCTTGAGCTATTGGTGATTGAGGTCTGAGCCGCTCCAGATTTCCTACGTTAAAAGAACTAAACATGTGAATATTGATTTTGACATGTATAAGATTAGAATCGTGACCGAAAGACAAATAATTTTCATATTTACAAAATCTAGAAGCTCTTAAATCATTTGATCCAAAAACTTAATTACCTTGAAATCCATATTTAAAATAAATAAGCTTTAAGACTTATATAGATTTTAAAATTCTGATTTTATGACATGGATATATCGTGTACTTGCCTTAATGAAAGGTCAGAAATTACTCCTTAGAGTTAATTATCAAAACATGACTAAAAGTCATCCACTTTTCACAAATAGGACCAAAAAATAAACTATGTTTGCATATGACTAATTATGTGTACCTTAGACAATTATACCCTTATAGCTATTAAAATGTTTTAATTCCTAATAAAATAATAAAAAATCATAAAAAATACTAAAAAATTAAGAAAAACATTTCGATATTAAAAATTTAATTATTTTTTTCAAAAAATTAAAAAAATTAAAAAAAATTAAAAAAAAATAAAAACTCAAAAAAAAAAAATCGCCGCCGCCTCTGCCGCCTCAGCACCACCACCTCCAGTCATCAGGGGAAAAAATGCCAAGTTCATTACGAATGTCATATTTATGGCAGAAAAAAATGAAAATGTTGGCATTCGAAAAGAGAAATATGCCACTTTTTTGGCATTTTCAGAAAAAATGGCATTTTTCTGGGAAAATGGCATTTTTTTCATCGACCGGAGGTGGTGGTGCTGGGAGGTAGTACAGGCGGTGGGAAAGGCATGCATATTTTTTAATTTTTTTTTACGGAGTTTTACTATTTTTTATTAATTTTTTTAAAAATAAAATTATTTTAAAAAAAAGTTTATGAATTTTTTATTTTATAAAAAATTTTATAATTTTTTTAATTATATTTCTACGATTTTTTGATTTTTTTTTCGAATTTATTATGAATTAAACATTTAATTATGATTTTTGACTATTTTTAATTCATATTTAATGGAAGGGTAAGAATGGAATGCAAAAATAGGTATGTTTCCAATAGAACTCATATGGTCCTATTTTGGAATAAAAACATAGCAAGTCCTATTTTAGATTTTTGTCATAGTTTTAGTCCTATTTGAACTAATTTCTATTACTCCCGGAGGCCGAATTGTCCAAGAGAGTTATTTAAATATTCAAAAAACATGATTCGTGCATGACGGGTAAAAAGTGACCGGTCGAGAGCACCTCTCTCCAGATTTCCATGAACTCTGGATTCCAGTCGCCCGAGAAACATTCTTAGCTCATCGATCTGGCTTTCAAAAAGTTTACCTTCCCCCCTCTCCGATGGGAAAGGGTCGAAAAAATGTGAAGGGTATTAAAATACCACAAACAGTTGCAAGAGTGTTGATTGAGGTTGATGTCTCTAAACCTCCACCTCTCTCTGTAAAATTTAAGCTCAAGTCTGGAAGGTTCTATATCCAGTATGTAATCTATGATACCTTCCATGATTACTATTTCCACTGTAAGAAATTTGGCCATCGCCCTTTCACCTGTAATGTCCTACATGAATTCGAAAGAAAGGAAAGAGAGGATGAAGTTAATAAAAGACAAGTAGGAATCGCAGAGAAACGTGGTGACCCGATAAGAATGGAAGCTATATTAGAAAAGAAAGAAACGACCCCTGAGATAGACAAATCTAAGGGTAATATTACTACTAAATTGGAAAATGGTGTAGGTGAGATGGCTACAAAAAACAAAACGGCTGGTGGGACCCAGATAACTGACTTGAAACCTAATGCAACCACTAAGGAGCAAGTGGGAACTAAGAGTACTAAACCGAATATAATGACAAATGAAAGAGGGGATTCTGGGGGCGAACACACAACTTCTCGGTTTAAAAAGAACTGTTAGAAAATAGAAGAGGTTGTTGGTTGTATGAATAGAATAAGTGATTTTAGTGAGGTGTAATGTAGATGATGTGTTTTAGAGGAGAGCTCTTGTCTCTAGAAAAGTAGTATTGTATTGATGTTTCTTGATTTTGCTTGGTTTGAAAATGAGTACAATGAGTCCTATTTATAGGAGCTAGAGGATCATTCTAGATCCTTATTAAATGCTATGATTCTAGAGTATTCTACATCTATGTCTAATTACTCTAGATTTTACATAAGAATTCTCTAGTAGAGAATTTTCTAGAATACTTTCTACCTTTAACTCTCTAGATCATCTCTAGCCTTTTCTACATAGAATATTCTAGATAAATGCATCACTATTTAATACTCCTCCTTGATGCATTTGTCGGTGACTCCAAGCATTCTTCGCAGAAACTGGAATCTGTCTCTTGGCAGGGCCTTCGTGAAAATATCTGCCAATTGTTCTTCTGTTGGGCAGTACTTCATCTCAATATGCCCCTTTGCTTGGACATCTCTCAAGAAGTGATACTTGATATCGATGTGCTTAGTACGATTGTGCTGAATTGGATTTTTAGCCATCGCAATAGCTGACTTGTTGTCGCAAAATATTTGAGTCGCAGAACTTTGCAATTCTCCCATGTCTTCTAATATTCTTTTTAGCCATATAGCTTGGCACGCTGCTCCGGCTGCTGCAACATACTCGGCTTCGGCTGAAGATAGTGCAACAGAATCTTGCTTCTTTGATCCCCATGAGAAAATTCCCGAACCCAGCTTAAATGCGTAACCGGAGGTGCTTTTCATGTCATCTTGAGATCCAGCCCAATCACTGTCGCTATATCCAGTTAGTCGTGAGTCAGGAGTTGTTTTGTACCAAATACCATAATTGATGGTTCCTTGTAGATACCTAAGGAGTCTCTTTGCCGCTCCATAATGAGTCTCAGTTGGACTTTCCATGAACCTCGAGAGCAAACTTGTAGCATACATGATGTCCGGCCTCGTAGCCGTTAAGTAGAGTAGACTCCCAATCAAACTTCGGTAATTGGTTGCATCCGTCTGCTTTGACCCATCTTCTTTCTTCAATTTTTCATTAGGAACCAGTGGAGTAACGACGGCTTTGCAGTCTTGCATTTTAAACTTCTTTAGCATGTCCTTAATATATTTTTCTTGAGATAAGAATATGCCTTCTTCTTCTTGACTTATCTCCATGCCAAGAAAGTAGTGCATTAATCCCAAGTCACTCATCTCAAAAGTGTTCATCATGTCTCTCTTAAATTCTTCAATTAATTTGGAATTATTTCCCGTGACAATTAAGTCATCAACATATAGAGAGACGATGAGAATGTCAGATTTACCTTGGGATTTGATGTATAGTGTAGCCTCGTTCTTACTCCTCCTGAACCCTTGACGGGTGAAGTATCCATCAATCTTGCTATACCACGCTCGTGGAGCTTGTTTGAGCCCGTAAAGCGCTTTCTTTAGACGAAGAACTTTTCCTTCTTCTTTGATGAATCCTTCTGGTTGCTCCACATACACTTCTTCTCGTAGCTCTCCATTTAGAAAGGCTGACTTGACATCTAGCTGATAAATTTTCCATTTCTTCTGAGCAGCAAGAGCTATGAGTGTTCTTATTGTGTCCATCCGGGCAACTGGTGCAAACGTCTCTGTGTAGTCAACTCCCGGTATTTGAGCATACCCCTTTGCAACCAGCCTTGCCTTATGCTTCTGAATTGAGCCATCGGGGTTCAATTTTGTTTTATACACCCATTTGACTCCAATAACCTCCTTGTTATGTGGAAGATCTACCATTTCCCAAGTATCATTCTTTTCTATCATTTTGATCTCCTCCTCCATTGCTTTAATCCAAACTTTTTCTTTGGAGGCTTCGGTGTAGCTATATGGCTCCAAGGAGCAAAAGTTGCATGTTTCATAGATGTCAGTAGACTCATATAGGTCTGCTAGAGTTCTTACCCGAAGAGGTGGGGACTCTGGTGAGGAGTCGTGATTTCTTGATGTATTAGCTTCAAAAGAGGATCTTGGAGTAGACGTGGGGCTTTGTTGATCGTGATTTTCCTCTTCTGGTATTTCCTCTAGTTGGACAGTAGTTGTCTTTCTTTCAACTTTTTCTGTCTCCCAATTCCAAGAGGCTTGCTCGTCAAACTCCACATCTCGACTTGTCACCAACTTCTTTGTCTCGAGATTGTAGATTCGATATCCCTTGGATTTGGAGCTATAGCCAAGGAAGATGCCCTTCTCTGTCTTGTCTTCTAATTTGTGCCTTTTAACAGAGGGAACATGAATGTAGCATATGCTTCCGAAGACCTTCAAATGTTTGGCTGAAGGCTTTTGTCCAGACCATGCTTCAATAGGTGTTTTGTTTAAAACCGTCTTAGTTGGACACCGGTTTAGAAGATAGACTGAAGTATATACTGCCTCTGCCCAGAACGTTTTAGGCATTCCTTTTTCAGCTAACATAGACCTTGCCATCTCCATGACTGTGCGGTTCTTCCTTTCGGATACCCCATTTTGTTGTGGAGTGTATGCTACTGTTAGTTGATGCTCTACACCTTCATCTTCACAGAACTTGTCAAATTCTTTTGAGTTGTATTCGGTACCTCGATCGCTTCTCAACTTCTTGATTTGATGACCACTCTGTTTCTCCACGAAGTTCTTGAATCTCTTGAATATTCTAAAGACTTCGGATTTTTCTTGGAAAAAATACACCCATGTCATCCTAGAGTAATCATCGATGAAGAGTATGAAGTACCTGTTCTTTGAAACTGAAGGCGTGCGCATTGGACCGCAAACATCGGTGTGGACAAGCTCTAGTATCTGTTTGGCTCTCCATGTCTTTTCTGTTGGAAATGGTTGCCTGTGCTGCTTCCCAACCATACATCCTTCACATACTCCTTCTTTTTCATCCAGTAGAGGCATGTCTCTCATCATCTTCTTTAGGTGTAGTAATCTCAAGGCATTGAGATTGAAGTGCCCAAATCTTCGATGCCATAGACTCGTATCACTCAGTTGAGCCACCATCGCCTTTTGTGGATATTGCCATTGAATAGGAAAATTTCTATTATTTCCCATTTTTACTTCAGCAATTTCTTGATTATTGTTCTTGTCATAAATTCGGCAAGAATTTTTCTCAAAGTGCAAGGCATATCCACTTTCCATCATTTGGCCAACACTTAGTAGATTTTGTGCAAGGCGTGGCACTAGGAGAACGTTTCTAATAAAGCGCGTACCTTTCTTTGTATCTATGACAATGGTACCTTTCCCCTTTGCCTCCACCAAATCGCCATTGCCCATCTTGACCTTTGTCTTGATAGAGGTGTCTAAGTCATGGAAGATGGTCTCGTTGGATGTCATGTGATTGCTGCACCCACTATCGATGTACCACTCTTCTTCTTTTGCTTCTATGGCTGAGTGACATGCGTAGAACATGTACTCCTTCTCCTTAAAATCTTCAGAATAGTTGGCCTGATAGTTTCTTCTATCTCTGCAATCTTTTTCTTCATGCCCGAACCTCTTGCAATTTCTGCATTGTGGCTTTCCTCGATGGTAGCAATCTTTCTCTAAGTGATTAGTCTTCTTGCATATTTTGCATGGTGGAAAGTTCGTCTTCCTCTCCTTGTTGTTAGAATTCCCATCTTTATGTGGTTTAAAGTTTTCACCATTTCTCGAGTGATTCCTTTTAATGTTGAGCTTAGACTGGAAGGCACTTTCTAATGAACTTTCGTGTCGTCTGTTTAGCCTTTGCTCACGTGCTTCTAGCGACCCCATTAATTCAGTGATGGACATTTTTGATAGATCTTTTGACTCCTCAATAGCCGAAACTACTGGATCATATTTTTCAGGGAGACTGATTAGGACCTTCTGGATTATTCTCTCGTCGGTTATGTTTTCTCCAAGAGTTCTCATTTCGTTGACTATATGTATAACCCGAGAGAAATAATCTTTTGCCATTTCAGAATCTCTCATCTTTAAATTTTCGAGCTCTCTTCTTAAACTTTGTAATTTAATAGTTCTAACTTTCTCATTTCCTTGAAATTCCTCCTTAAGAATATCCCAAGCTTCTTTTGCCGTAGTAGCACGAATTATTCTCGGGAAAATAGTATCACAAACGGATTGTTGAAGAAGATAGAGAGCTCTAGCATTTTGCTGTTTTTGTTTCTTACGTACCTCGGAAGTTGATGCGTCGTCGCTTCCTTTTTCCGGCATGATGATTCCTTCTTCAACAATATCCCAGAGATCATGTGATTCTAGGCAAGTCTTCATACGGACACTCCAATAGTCATAGCTTTCTCCATTGAACATCGGAGTTGATACCGAGAAGCTTGATGTCGTCATAATGCCCGCTTATGATCGAACAAGCTCTGATACCACTTGTTAGAAAATAGAAGAGGTTGTTGGTTGTATGAATAGAATAAGTGATTTTAGTGAGGTGTAATGTAGATGATGTGTTTTAGAGGAGAGCTCTTGTCTCTAGAAAAGTAGTATTGTATTGATGTTTCTTGGTTTTGCTTGGTTTGAAAATGAGTACAATGAGTCCTATTTATAGGAGCTAGAGGATCATTCTAGATCCTTATTAAATGCTATGATTCTAGAGTATTCTACATCTATGTCTAATTACTCTAGATTTTACATAAGAATTCTCTAGTAGAGAATTTTCTAGAATACTTTCTACCTTTAACTCTCTAGATCATCTCTAGCCTTTTCTACATAGAATATTCTAGATAAATGCATCACTATTTAATAAGAACACTACAAAAAAACACGCCGTTTGTCACGAATTTTGTC